TTAGCAAATACCTAATACATTATATATTTTGTAACTCACAGTGTTACATGTAGTTTTCTTATCTGATCAAAAAACAACCTAGCTGCTTGCTCATCGGTTGGGATTTTGTTGTCTTGCCACCGGAAAAACCGGGGAAATTTGTATACACTGGTGGAAACCCCCAATAACGTTATCCTTTCATGCATCCATGCCTGCTCATTTTGGAATCACTATTAATTGGTATATTCAATATAACATAATATATATTCAATGATATATATCACTTACCAATAAGCCGATAGTGCATCCATCAAAATACTTTAATCCCCCTCTCAAATACATCTCCATATTCTCAACAAGAAATTCATATACCAACTTTGCTTATGCAAAAGACCCTAAAACCCCCAAATCTTCTACATGCGGATAAATCCACCTTTCTACGTTTTGATACCCTTTGGTAGTAGAACAGTATTAAATAGATAAATAGTGTACAATCTACTGAAATCTTCAACAGATTGTTGATCGGTCAAAATTTGCATAGGCCTCGAGTTTAAAAACAATATATGGCCTTGTCAATGATGATAATTTACCATCAAAAATACATGTAATGAAATCAGTGTCTCTGCCATCCATATTCACATCGACCGGTACGCCTTCGTATTGCAGCCCTAATACGATAGAAAATTCCAAGCGTATAGTATTTCCCCCAAACCAGAAGCCCCGATCTTTTATATTGTACGCTTGCTTGAGAGACGCAACCCTATGCAAGTTGTGGTTTATTTTAGGCATGTCCATGTAGTGATAGAAGGGATTTTTCTTTAGTTCTTCATAATGTTGTTTCTTCATCAGCTTCTTCACACATTCCATAGTTGCTTGAAAAGCGATCGGTGAGCACCTGCAGCCTATTGCTAGCTTGCTGCTATCTTATTTTACCTTAATTCCTTCAATTACATACACATAAAAGTACAATTATAACAAATACAAGGTACTATAAAGTTCCACTACTACTTTCAGAACTTATTTCAACAAACCTATCAACATTTATCGTTGGCTTTGTTGCAACAACTGGACCAGAAATTATTTCCAAAACTGGAGAAAGCAACGCTTTCTCTTTTGGGTACACAGGAAATGGTATAACCTAATAAACGTAAAAAAATTGTTAGCAAATACCTAATACATTATATATTTTGTAACTCACAGTGTTACATGTATTTTTCCTTTCTGATCAAAAAGCAACTTAGCTGCTACTTCATCGGTTGGGATTTTGCTGTCTTGGCACCGGAAGAACCGGGGAAATTTGTAAACACTGGTGGAAACCCCCAATAACGTGATCCTTTCATGCACCCATTCCTGCTCATTTTGGAATCACTATTAATTGGTATATTCAGTATAACATATTATATATTCACTATTAGATATCACTTACCAATATGCCGATAGTGCATCCACCAAAATACTTTAATCCCCCCTGAAATACATCTCCATATTCTCAACAAGAAAATCAAATACCAACTTTCCTTATCCAAAAGACCCTAAAACCTCCAAATCTTCTACTTGCGGATAAATCCTACGTTTTGTTACCCTTTGGCAGTAGAACAAGATTAAATAGATAAATAGTTTACAATCTACTGAAATCTTCAACAGATTGTTGATCGGTCATAATTTGCATAGGCCTCCAGTTTAAAAGCAATATATGGCCTCGTCTCTGATTATAATTTACCATCAAAAATATATGTAATGAAATCAGTGTCTCTGCATCCATATTCACATCGACCGGTACGCCTTCGTATTGCAGCCCTAATACGATAGATAATTGTTGCGGAGTGAATTCCAAGCGGATAGCATTTCCCCCAAACCATAAGGCCCGATCTTTTATATTGTACGCTTGCATGAGAGACGCAGCCCTATGCAAGTTGTGGTTTATTTTAGTCATGTCCATGTAGTGATAGAAGAGATTTTTCTTCTTCATAATGTTGTTTTTTCTACATCAACTTCTTCACACCTTCCATAGTTGCTTGAAAAGCGATCGGTGAGCACGTGCAGCCTATTGCTAGCTTGTTGCTGTTTTCTTTTACATTAATTCATGCAATTATATACACATAAAAGTACAATTATAACAAATACAACGTATATAATGTTCCACTACTACTTTGAGAACTTATTTCAACAAACCTATCAACATTTATCGTTGGCTTTGTTGCAACAACTGGGCAATAAATTATTTCCAAAATTGAACGCTTTCGCTTTTGGGTACACAGAAAATGGTATAACCTAATAAACGTAAAAATATTGTTAGCAAATACCTAATACATTTTTATATAATGTAACTCACAGTGTTACCTGTACTTTTCTTAACTGATCAAAAAGCAACCTTGCTGCTTCTTCATCGGTTGGGAGTTTGTTGTCTTGCCACCGGAAGAACCGGGGAAATTTGTAAACACTGGTGGGAACCCCCAATAACGTGATCCTTTCATGCCCCCATGCCTGCTCATTTTGGAATCAGTATTAATTTGTATATTCAATATAACATAATATATATTCACTATTAGATATCACTTACCAATAAGCAGATAGTGCATCCATCAAAATACTTTAATCCCCATCTCAAATACGTATCCCTATTCTCAACAAGAAAATCATATACCAACTTTCCCCATGCAAAAGACCCTAAAACTCCCAAATCTTCTACATGCAGATAAATCCACCTTTCTAATGTTTTGTTACCCTTTGGCAGTAAAACAGTATTAAATAGATAAATAGTGTACAATCTACTTAAATCTGCAACAGATTGTTGATCGGTCATAATTTGCATAGGCCTCCAGTTTGAAAGAAATATATGGCCTCGTCGCTAATGATAATTTACCATCAAAAATACGTGTAATGAAATCAGTGTCTTTGCCATCCATATTCACATCGACCGGTACGCCTTCGTATTGCAGCCCTAGTACGATAGATAATTGTTGCGGAGTGAATTCCAAGCGTATAGTATTTCCCCCAAACGAGAAGGCCCGATCTTTTACATTGTACGCTTGCTTGAGAGATGCAGCCCTGTGCAAGCTGTGGTTTATTTTAGGCACGTCCATGTAGTGATAGAAGGGATTTTTCTTCAGTTCTTGATGATGTTGTTTCTTCATCAGCTTCTTCACACCTTCCGTAGTTGCTTGTAAAGCGATCGGTGAGCACCTGCAGCCTATTGCTAGCTTATTGCTATCTTCTTTTACATTAATTCCTGCAATTACATACACATAAAAGTTCAATTATAACAAATACAACGTACTATAAAGTTCCACTTTCAGTACTTCCAGTAATTTCGTTCAATACCATCCAAATGCACTAGTAATACCATTGTTGCATATGACACATACTACATTACAATCAAATATTATACTTTCAGTACCCTTTGTCAATACCATTCGAATGCACTGGCAATACCATTCAAAGGAACTAGCAATACTATTGTGGCATATGACATACTACAGAACCATCAAACATTATACTTCCAGTACCCTGTGTCAATACCATCCAAAGTCACTAACAATACCGTTCAAAGGCACTAGCAATACTATTGTTGCATATGACACATACTACAGAACCATCAAACATTATACTTTCAGTACCCAGTGTTAATACCATTTGAAGTCAAGAGCAATACCATTATTACATATGATATATACTACAGAACCATCAAACATCATACATCAAACCCTTGTTAGGACTAAATGCTTTCGGGACAGTACTTCGAGTACCCTGTGTCAGTACCAGTTTAATGCACTATTAATACCATTACTGCGCATGACACATACTATAGAACCAGTACGAAAAGTACAATGAGCCTCTTTCCCATATCCTATATGAAACCCTTGTTAGAACTCAAAATGCTTTGGGGACATGCTAATGTCACCGAAGAATAATACCCAGGAGGAAAGTGTTACAAAATCATGAATTCTGACAACAAATAAATGATCTTTGCAAACTCAAACAACAAAACAACAGATACTGGAGCCGATTTAATGATTAGGGGAAACACCGAATAAAGTCGAGGCATAATACCCACGAGTGGATATGTCAAAATCATGCAATTCTACAACAAATAAACATTTTTGCAAACTTAAGCAACACCCAAATAGGTATGTTTCCAAGAAAATGAAAAAAATTAAAAAAAATCAAACCTTGTTGTTTACTCTGCTTCACCATTGTCTAGAAATTAAATGGGTTTGTTTATTTTTATTTCTCCTTTCGCTTTATTATTTTTCTGCGTCTTTGTTGATTCTTCGTTCTTTGTTGTTTCTTCCTTCTTTGTTGTTTCTTTGTTCTTTGTATCTTCTTTGTTGCTTCTTTGTTTGGAAATGGGTATAAACTGATAACGATGGTTTTTTCTGTGCCTTTTTAGCTTCCTTCTTGTTGTTTGATTTTTAAAATGTAACAGACAAAGAGTATGTAACACAAACATCGCATTGGAGGTTGAAAATAAATTATGTAAAATTAGTATAAAGTAAATGATATTTTAGTATTTGTACATTTTATTAGGGATTGATCTGCATGTTAGATGCGTGAGTATAGACTAATTTGCTTGGAGAAACTACCTAGGGACTGATCTGTGTTTTTTGTTTTGGATTATGCATTTATCTGTAGTTTCCCATTTTTTAATGTATACTCTGACATTGCCACTGATAATAAAAGAAAAAAATGTATTTTATATTGCACAATATCAAATCTATATTACATAAGATTAATTAATATTATCTACACGAATAAATCTTTACCGTTCATCTATAAATACTAACATAGATGTGTGTGTTTTTTACGTGTGATCGAATGAACCATAAAAATATATTCACTATATAATATGAAATAAATCGTCATACACACTAGAAAAATGAAAAAATGAAAAATGGTGGAAGCTATAATTACGAGGCAACCCACTTCAAAGTGGGCAATAAACACTTCATCTCAATTCCCACTTCTTCAAATAATTAACACACCATCTTCAACCCAACTTCAAGAACCTAGCTCATCCATTAATGGCGGCGCCGCCCGAAACTTCGCAGTACGTAACTCAGAATTCCGAGCACTCAATTTGCAATTGTAACTTTTTTTCATGAATTTGCTTAACGAATATATATGGATGGCTGCAGGTTCGAGTCAACTGAAACGCTGGCAACGTTTGTGGCGGCGACGCCGCTGCTGGAGGAGTCGTGGCGGCTGTGCAGCCGCGCCGACGCCGCCGCCACACACCACGGGAGCTTTGCGGTGAACATTGTGGGGCAGGTGGCGTACGTGGCTTTCTCCGCCGTGCAAGTGGTGGCGGCGGCGGCGGCTGAGGAGGAGAATCTGGTGGAGCTGGAAAATAGTAAGGGGGTTTTCAGTTCATCATTTGTTGAGAGGGGATTATCAAAACCCAAGGTGATGGTCCACGCTGGCATTCTGCAACTCTTTCTCTCATTTTATCACAACCACAATTTTCAACAACAGGTTGGTATTTTTTTTTTATTCTCTTTAATTATTATTTTTTTTTTGTAGTGAATATTTGCAATTATTAATGCAAATGTTTTTCATTTATCCATGCAAATGTTTTTCATTTATCCATGCACACAGTGGCGAATACAGGATTTTTGCCAAGGGTGTTCGGAATTAAATATAGTAAAAAAGGTAAAAGTTTACGGGGGTTGGGGGGCCGATTTTTTTTAAATACTATACACATTAAATAATAAAAATATGTAATATTTTCAAATTTAAAGGGATTATTTTACAAATTTTGGGCTAATTTAGGAAATATTTAGACATAAAATTGGTGAAAATATTTAAGGAGTGGTAAGCATATTAAAGTTGCAAGTGACAAAATGTGTATTTCATTAGCAGATTTTGAATTTTTAAAATACAAAAAAAAAAAAAAAAACCCAGATAGTTGTAAATTTAGAAAACAATTGTAATAATGCATATATATAAAAAAATAAGAATTTTGGAATAATTTAGATTATATAAAATATTAAAGGAATGGTAAATAAATTAAAGTTGCAAATAGCAAAATATATGTTTTATTAGGAGATTTTGATTTTTTGAAATATTCAAAAATACCCACATATTCAAAAAATTTGAAAACAATTGAAATATTATATGTATTAGAAATAAAAAAAAACAAGCATATATATATATATATATATAT